GGGGGGGGGAGGAGAAGCGGAGAAAGCGTTTGGATTGGGCCCAGTGTAATCGCTTGGGTCGGGGTGGAGATATGACGCTGTAGTGATACACGAAAGTGCTCTATAACCAGTCTATGAGATTGATTCAAGAGATAGAAGTTCAGAAATCAAAAGGCGCGAGCCTACTGTTTCAAGTACTTATATTGTATCACAGTGGGTCGGGTAAGAAAAGATTCCAGAAGCCGAGTGGGGGGGGAGACAACATTCGTACGGTTATTGGTTCTTTTATGTTTGGAAGTAGGGGGGGAAGTTAGGCTAAGATGAGTTTCTTCAACATTTTTGTCCATACCCGGGGTGAATAGCCGTCCAGGTCCAAGGTCCGAAATAGATGATGTGTGTCACTGGATTCCTTCCAAGATGATCTATACACTTGCATATAACTCTCGATTGACTACTCGCTACTTCCACAAAAAAGTACCCCATCGAGGCAAAACATCCTCATGATGTCACGGTATTTGGTATTACCGTAACTCACCCCCACGCTAGAAAGATACCGATCCAACTCATTTTCCTATTAACTTGGAACTTGGAGTGGGGGATTTTGTACGGAGTACGGAGTGGTGTGTCTCATTATTATCTGCGTCATTCTCAGGTTCTTTGTCGCTCTCACGTATCCCGTGCCGAACAATATCCTGACTTGACACCGAAAGACGGCCCCCACACTCTGGAAGATTTGGAGATCCACCTCGTGGAAAGATCGTGTATACAAGGATTGCAACCACGTGGAACATAGAGGAGACAGAAATCCCGGAGAATACAGTCTCATCCGATAAGAGACCACCTTGGAGGGACACGGAAATATGAGCGGAATTTGCATGCTGATTTCCTACAGCCAAGCCGACTACGGAGTATACCCAGGTATACCAAGTAAGCATGAGACTATTGATTTTCCCCCTCAGAATCTGGAGGGAAACAGGAAGTTCCCGCCAAGGAAATGAATAGGACGGTTGCTGAGGCTAGAGCTGATTTTCCGCTAGTTGTGTCTACAACACATGGTCATGAGGCCGACCTGACGGGAAGCGGATTCCGACACATCCGATCTCCTGCTTATCCGGTGTAGTTTAGGGGGATGTCTTGGGTCCTGATCCGCATGAGTACTTTATATTTAAACATTGGGAAGAAAGCGAAGACGGGCATCAGGTCCAACCAGAGGGAATTAGCGAGAGAAGCGCCCTGTCAGTGGATCTGGCATGTCCAAAGAGCTCACGGGGTCCCAAGTCCAACGGGTGATTGTAGATCAGTGGCATTACAGTTGATGTGAGTTCCCAGAACTTCTATCGGAGGGGATCAACAGGAGTAAAAGATGAAATCAGTATCAAAGACCGAATAGAGGCAAAGAGTTCCAATCGCATACTGCAATCACCCGTTCTATATCAAAATAGGTCGAATGTCAGTTCATGGGGGCGGGGAGTCCGTATTACATAAGCCTATCTCCAGGCCACCGCGACAGCTCCAGATCATCAAAGCTCCGACTTGTTGGTTCGGGCCTCGAGAGCGACAGCCTCAATTACCTCCACTATGGCTTCACTGTTCTTCTCCACACCGGTCGACATTGATGTGGTCCTCGAAGACCTCGATGAGCGACAGACCGTGGACGTCAAGCTCGACAAGGGCCGCCGCGAGCGGGTCCCTCTGTACATGGACGGCGAGTCCGTCAAAGGTGCCGTGACCATCAGACCGAAGGATGGCAAGCGGCTGGAACATACGGGGATCAAGGTGCAATTTATTGGCACGATTGGTGCGTTGGACCTTTCACCCAACCTCTCCCAGCTGAATTCGCCATCGCAGACTAACCGCTAACACCTCTTTTTTTTTGGCGGAATGCAGAGATGTTCTACGACCGAGGCAACCATTATGAATTCCTTTCCCTGGTACAGGAGCTCGCTGCGCCCGGCGAGCTGCTCCACCCGCAGACCTTCCCTTTCAATTTCAAGAGCGTCGAAAAGCAATACGAGTCTTACAATGGCATCAACGTTAAGCTGCGCTACTTTGTCCGGGTGACCGTCTCGCGGCGCATGGCGGACGTTATTCGGGAGAAGGATTTGTGGGTGTACTCGTACCGCATGCCACCTGAGAACAACAGCCCTATCAAGATGGACGTTGGTATTGAGGACTGCCTCCATATCGAATTCGAATATTCCAAATCCAAGTATCATCTTAAGGATGTGATTGTTGGCCGTATCTATTTCTTGCTTGTGCGGCTCAAGATCAAGCATATGGAATTGTCTATCATTCGGCGGGAGACAACAGGATCACCGCCAAATCAATATAATGAGAGTGAGACTTTGGTACGCTTTGAGGTATGTGGTTTATTCAACACTCTTGATGCAATACTGGGATATGATGTACAAACGATAGGAATGCTAACTTGCCTGCAGATCATGGATGGTTCGCCATCGAGAGGTTAGTGGACGCCTCGCCATCTTTGGACCCCGCAACGGCCACAAGCCTGCGCCTTGATAATTCTCGCGATGGCTGGCAAGGGCTGGCAAGCGTGGGGTAATCTTGAGTATAGCTGACTTTCATAGGTGAAACTATTCCAATCCGTCTGTTCCTTGGTGGATTCGACTTGACGCCGACATTCCGCGACGTTAACAAGAAGTACTCGACAAGGTACTATCTCAGTCTCGTACTGATTGACGAAGGTACGCTTCAAACACCCCAATCTTTCTGCGTTCATTCCAATCTTTGGCAATCCTCAAATCAGTCCATGACGCATCCCAGAATATGGGGCGCAGAGACAGGCAACACGCCATAGCCGTCGGCAATTGAAGTTACCCAATACAACCATCCAAGTCGGGCCGGTTGCATCGTTTGGTTGCCAATTTGCATTCGAGGCCTCCTAATTCACGATGCCCCCACGCTAAACCGCTTCTGGCATTGGCAACTCCATGATACAACTTACCATACACTCATCCCATTCTGATACATCATCGGCCTGTCTACAATTTCATTGTCTCAAACTAACCCAATATTAGATGCCCGTCGCTACTTTAAACAGTCCGAAATTGCGCTCTACCGTCAAGCCCCCGAGATCGCCCCGAACGCCCAGATCGCGCAACAGCAACAGATCCAGCAGCAGATGCTGCTCGAGCAACAGCGCCAGCAGCCCGCCCTTCCACCGGGCTCTGCTACCGCTGGACCCGGCAGAGAAGTCACCGCGCCGCTTCGACAGGAGCCTCAGCCTGTCCCCGCGCCCGCAGCATAGACTCTTATTCTATTCTCGTTATCCCTTGCGTCTTTCTTACAGCCTCCTGGTACCTGCGGATCTGTCCTTCTATACCCGCCTCTTTTCTCCGATCTTGATTTCTCATCACCCCTACTACTCACTTGTCCTTTTTTGTGTCCGTTAATTCTGTCTCACGGCTATGTCACGACATCACTCTGTAGTATACCTTACTCTGCCTACATTCGTGCCATGCCTTATTTCAAATCGAACCTCAACGTTGATTCGGGTTTTAGAATTTGTCCCTTTCTGATGTATTATCCGAGTCTAGAGTGTAAAGTAAAAACAATGCATGGACGTACACCCAATCAAGTCATACGTCATCCACAACTAAGGTCTAGCTCTAATACTCGACCCGACCAATCTCCTGCAAGACTTTTCCCAGCGCCTGGAGAATCTGTCCATCATCACGCTCTTTACCAGCGACCTGCACAGCGCGCACAACCAACGGATAAATCCACTCCAGATGTTTCCGATAGTGGTACTTCTCCGCATCCCCAGCTTCGACAACCGAAACGCTTCTCACGGAAGTTGGATCCGGAATAGCCGACGGCTCACTCTTCAGCTCGACCATGCGGAGGAGCAGATGAAGCAGGACCTTGCGGGCAGGCGTGGGCTGGGGCATCAAGCCGCGCAGTGGCTGGTCTGCGATGTAAGATTTGAGCGAGACCGCGCAGCGCAGGAGGAGGTATGGCGAGATCGAGCGGGCGAGCAGAGTCTGCGGGGACGGGACGTCGGCTTTTGTCTCGGCCTTGGCTTGTGAGCATACGGCGAGCTCAAAGAGCGTGTCTATGAGGACGTAGGCTATTCCTGGGCGCAGGGTTGGCGGTGGGGCGAAGGTGCGGCCGGGGCGGACGGTATAGAAGTTTTGTAGGGGTGCGTGTTCAAGGCCGCTGGGTAGGTCAAAGCGGAGGGGGGCGTAGATGAAAGAGGAGTTGAAGAGAGCGCGGGCGAAGTCACGGCGAACGGCGTCTGGGATTGCTGCTGCGCCGAGGGCCGGGAGGATTAGAGTCTTAAGGCGGGCGAAGGCTTCGGTATCGAATGCTTCATCTGCAGTGATTTGGGCGTTGGGGAGTTGTGGGGCTTGGAAACCGCGGGCGGAAACTATTCCATTTGTGACTTCGACGATGCGTTGCCAAAACTGGGATATTTGGAGCTCGTTTGTCTTCATGTATTGCTTTTCCACGTAAGGGACTACAACTTTCAGAACGTCCAAGGATACCGTTGTGGCCTTTTGCCAGAGGAACG